TGACGGAGAGATCAGTACGATAGGAATAATTACCGTAATAATCTATCCTACCGACCTACTCAACGACAGAGTATGAGCTAATAATCGCAATGTGGCATAGCTAAGTCTACGAATCTACGCGAAGCGAGAACTGCATCTCCGACGATAATTTAATTATAAACTCCGAACGCTGCCAATCTCATAATGAGAGAACTAACGACCAAAGTACTGCCACTCACGGACTTATGTAGACACGGCGCATCCGTGTAGAAACAATCAAAAGTAAATCCGAACACAAAAGAGAAACGTTGAGAAAGTACAGCGAATAATAGAAAGTACGAGTAAAGCCGTCACTTTACGTACTGTACTGCTATATTCCGTCACCCCTGCAAACGGCTTTTGGGGAACCCAACACAAAAAGAACAGAAAAGAAAAACAAAACAGGAACAAAAAAAACTAAATAAGACGTCTCACGCTCTCGACTGGGCAAGGCGGGCAAATCCATCCACCGTCCAAGAATGACATGATCCTCCTCCACGGGTGACAAGTGCGATGGTGAGTGAGGAGAGGATCCTTGACGGGGAGGAAAACTGAGCGTAGGCAGAGTGAGAAGGATGGCTGAATGGCAGTTAAAACAGTCGGAGTGAAACAAGCAGGAAAAACGTCGGAACACAAAAAATGAAGATTTTTAAGTGGCAAAGTAATTAAATTAAAGGAACATCGCCGATGAAAAACTCAAAGAAAAAACATCCGCGACGAAGAAATAAAAATAGAATAAAACACCACTTTGAAAATGCGAAATACCAGCAAACGTATGTATTCAGTCAGCATTGCAACTCGAGGCGGTTACCTATGCGACTCAATCCGCAAACGTACAATCACCGTAAGACGGCAATCAAAAAGGATATCTTCCTGAATAAAATTCCAGAAAATTTACATGCACATTTGGAAGTTTGTCCACATCACTGGGCTTGTCTTCAAACACTATTTTCAGTTCTTGACCATCAAAATTTCTTTTTCATATTACCAAATTGTAGTGCCCAATGGTAATCGTGGTGGTACGACGATCAGGGAACGGAATTCCGACTCGTACGCGCATGGTTCTGACAGTACAAAAAGTAGAATACACAGACATCCACTGCCAGGAACACCCCAGGGGTCCGTACAGTACCACCTGCCTGTATATACAGTACCACCTGCCTATAATTAACTTTTTAATTACTTTTAATTAAATTAAACAATAGAGTACAGTAATTTACATTAATTTCATTAACTTACGTAATTAATTAGTGGAAACAATAGTTAATTTTCATTTTTTCTAATTAACGAGTTTAAAAATACGAGTATACATGAAAAAATGCTGCGAGTACAGTAATTTTAATGAAAAATTTGCACTCTTTTATCCTTGTCACCAAAAACATGAAAGATGAACCCCGTACTACATCCGCAATGGATCATATGCAATAACAATGTTCGCTACATGCAACAATTTTATCCCAGAGTAACATCCCCGTACCACGCATACAACATTTAACCCCGGTACCGCTCGCATAACTAAAAACAACAAATCATCCCTGTCACCACGCGTACAACAAAAACACATGACATAACCACAACCGATGCATTAACAAACAACGATGATGAATCCGCATATCCACGCTCCGACCCACGCATGTACCTGCAAATATACGTGTATGATGTACACATAATAAATACAAGTGTGAACAATATTTTTTTTTAAGTACATCGCACTACAGCTTGCGTCTGCCACGGTTCTTGTTCGGGTGCATATCCACAATCGGACGCTGCACAACGCATCCATTCGGTGCGACAAAACCACCCAACAGTTGAGGCGCTGGCTGCTGAACAGGACCGACAGCGACATCACGTCCACGCTCCCGCATAAATGCCATATCGGCACTGTGTCCTCCCAGCGCATCCAGCCATGGCGTTGCACTTCGTGGCGCTAATACACATAAAATCACTGTTATATAGATAAATGTAGTTGTGTAGTACTGTAGTTGTGTAGTATGTACCAGGAGCTGTTTGGGCAAGTGCGGAAGCCGGCAGGCTCGGGTTCACTCCATTAGGTCGCCCCAAGCAAATGCGCTTGGCGCCACCCGTGCCACGACGACGAACTAAATAAAGTCGAAAATTTAACGTTATGTACGAGCACATACCATTACAAGAATTGAAAATACAGTACCTGGTTGAACAGAGCGTGCTGGGGATGGACTCGGTGACTGCGCACAGGTTGGTGGTGCTGGTCGTGTACTGTGGGATCCACGCATTCCACGTGGTGCTCGACCACGCCGTCCTCCACGTGAGCATACAGCAGTACCTGGTTGAACAGAGCGTGCTGAGGATGGACTCGGTGACTGCGCACGGGCTGGTGGAGCTGGTCGTGTACTGTGGGATCCACGCATTCCACGTGGTGCTCGACCACGCCGTCCTCCACGTGAGCATACAGCAGTTCCCATGTTCGTAAAGGGAGACCGAGTGCTCTGCACCTTCATGCCCGACAATTCACGCGCGCTTAACCAGTTGCTTTTGGCAACGGAGCCGCGAGCATTTGCCGCTAAACATAAGGACATGTAGAGATGTACATAATTATTGTAAAATACGTTTCTTACCGGTTGGTCCCGATGCTTCTTCAGGTTCAGCAGTCGCTGGTGCCGGTGGAAGCACTCGTACAGGTACGGCAACACGCTTGCCAAGAATAGCGGTCCCGCGGATGGAGCCGGCGCCACGTTTATCTATAACAGCAACTTCAAAAATAACATTAGTACTTAATACAAAATAGTACTTACGTTGAGTCGGGGCCGGTGGTGCCTGCACGTGGGTGTCACTCTCATCGTCCGAGGACGATTCCATCACCATGGGACGCTTTCCTGCACGTTGAACCACTACGGGCAGTGCAGCCGACAATGCAGAACGCTCGGGACTGGGACCTGACACGGGAATACGTCCCAACCGTAGTTCCTCCAGGTACTCTAGGAACTGGTCCAACGTGCCATGGGGGTTAAATTCCTTAATATTCAGCCAGTTTTTACCCCGCGCATACTGTGCCAGAGCCGCGTCTTCACGCCGCAAAGTTTTCCGCTTGGCATGTGCGGCACACGCTGCTCCTTTCGTCAAGCACTCGATTACGAAGCGCTCGGCCACTTCCTGTAGTAGACCAAGTGCTCCAACTTGCATGCGCATTTCTGGATTCCTCGTCCAGGTGAGCACACGCACAACGCGTTGGAATGCTAGCCGCGGCAGAAAAACTTCTACAGGGTTCATTTGGCGATACTTGTCACGTAATGCAGCACGACCGAGCCGTTTCGTCACAATGCGCGATGGATCCGGGCGGCGAGTGGAGCGGTCGCGTGGGTCGGCACTAGCACCGATCTGCGGAACACGGTCCGGGTCTGCGCTTGGTTCAACTGGATGATCCGTGAAGGCGTCCAACTCGTACACATCATCGTGCGCCTCCCGCTCGGCGCGGCTATCTGCCACGTCTGACTGGTGATCAAGGTGCAGTTCTTCTGCCTCTGGCCCAACGTAAATGCACGCACCCATCAGTCTGATCGCAGCCATCTGGGTACTAAAAGATAAAAATTAAGGTAGTTATCAATATTTGCACCAGATACTGTTAACTTTGTAGCACATACTCGTGTGAAAATTCAGCAGCATTAAAACCAATTTTAGGAACACCATCACCCGCTGAAAACTCAACGCGATGCACTGGATCAAACGGCAGCGGAGGTGAAGGCGTGCGCACATGCTGCTCGGGAGGCGGCTATCGGACTGGGGTCGGTAATCGAATGCTTACGCTCTCTTCATCGGAAGACGAGTCACTCTCTCCGATATCAGACGTCAACGGTTTACCACTCTTACGATAACGCACACGTTCCGGAGACGATGGGGGTGTGGTACGAGGCAGTCCGGATGAGACGGGAAGCTGCTCCGGGGTCTCCATGGAATCATCCATCTTCAACAAAACAGAGATTAATGCGTCAATAACAAAGAAAATGCGTCGAATACTGCTCTGAAGTATCCTAGATTATAATTTCTATGTATAAATACAGTACATATGAATAACGTAAAATTTCGATTTTAGTATGCAACTTGAGCTACGAACAGAATACCAGAACGTAATGCCAACCAAAATCGAATTTTTATTATTTCGTAAAAATCCGTACAGTAACGATGTCATTACACCTCAGAATACGTCGCTATCGCAGTAAAATGCACCGAATACTGCATCCTACATTACAACCTATGTATAAGTACAGTACATATGAATAATGTAAAATTTCGATTTTAGTATGCAACTCGATCTACGAACACAATACCAGAACGTGATGCCAACCAAAATCGAATTTTTATTATTTCGTAAAAATCTGTACAGTAATTAGTTTTTTTTACACCGCAGAACGTAACATATCACAAAAACAGAAGATCACATTATCAAAAATGGAAGAGCAGACATCAAAGATTCAAACTACAGAATCTGTACAGAAACAAGTATGTACAAAATCAGAATTAATTTGTACAAAAAGCATATGTACAGTAATTACAGGTCGGTATGCTCATTAACCACCGACATTTCGGTACTCTCGGTACTGATAGCGTGGGCTACAGGAGCCACGGCGCACCGGCGTCGAAAGAACATTACGGCACTTAAAATTGCCGTCGCTGCAACGATTACACCGATAATGGCGTAGACCACGTTGGGGGCGTTGACTGCGGAGTCAGGATCCTCGGGTGCGGGCGTTGTCAGTAGCATTGGAGGCTTATCCGCTGGGCTCGATGCTGTCCCGGTGGGCGATATACCCGTGCCCATGTCCGTGGTGTTCAGCGGAACCTTTGGCGTGGCTGTGAAGGGAACACGGCCGCAGTCTGACAAGACCGTAAAGTTAACGGTCGACGGTTCCGTACACTCTAGAACCGGATTGCAACGTGCGTCGAAAAGGCGGAGTCGCGGAAAATACCGGCTGAGTGCAGCATACGGAACACCGTACAGACGGTTGCTCTGAAACAGGATAACCTGCACCCACTGTTCCGGGCTGCGCGGGGTAGGCACTGTAGTCAAATCCCGCCCCCACAGTTCATCACGCCTTCGATGCGCTCGCACTGACAGTGATTCAGACAGCGCGACTATACACTGTGCGCGCTACTGACCACTGACAGCAAGAGCAATACTTGCAGTAGGCGTTCCATCTGCAACAAAACATTCAGTCAGCAGTAAAGTAACTTTGAATGCACATTCAGACAAAACACACACGCACACACACATTAGACTCGGACACACGTTCACTTACCTCCTCACATATACGTACACATACAGTACTTTTGCCGATTTACCGTGCCACTGCGGACACTTTTGCCGTTATTTTCACGCGAGTTTAAAAATGTATTTAGAAAACGCCGCTAACGCTCTGTTTCCCGTCGGAACTGGGGAACGCATGATGAAGAACGGAGTCGTATACTACAGTACTGTTCAACAGGACGGCGTTCTTATGCTACAGGGTGTCTATCGTGATTTGGTGGCACGTTTCGAAGACGCCCAGAAGTACTATCCCGATCTCACAATCGGTGTTAGAGTGCAGTTTGTGAAGGAAACCTGGTTCCATCAACAACCGCTTGGAGAAGTAGCATTTGCACTATATCCAAAAGAGGAAAAAGGCACTAATATCGCCTTCCGAGAGAATCCAACAAAATGTACCGAAGAAAATTGGAAAGAATGGCGCCCTATTGTTCGCGATTTGGCACACGGTCGTATGCGAAATTATCTGAAGTACCAAGTGAAAAAATGGCGCAAAGCCTGCCCGAGTGCCGGCTACCGCATCCAACAGGTTATTACTTTTGAATGTCCCGACGGGAGCGGTGTTAAAGCTTGGAATGAAACATGCACTGGTGTATGTGACGCCGATGATGACATCGGACCTCCCGCACCAAAATTTGATTATTTCTACCAACGCGTGGACAAGTTCGAAAAGCTGAAGAAACTGGAACAGGGACGTGTTCCGTTCACTCAACCAGACGACCTGGGGGAAGAAAAACGGGACACTATTGGAGGGTTTACACCACCGGTATATCCGTCTTGGGGCGACGAGTTTGACGGAAAGCCGGCTGACTTACTCATTTTTGACGATGCCAGCTGATCCACCACGAGCGGTAAGTTTTTGTTGCGCAAATTTAGTTTACAGTTTCTTGTTTGAAAACTATTTTATAATTTTTCAACTCTTGCTCATAGAAATCATGGATCCTGAAACGCCACCACCGATTCCCGTAGAGGAAAAGAACTCACGTGGAATCCTCATATGGGCTCTATTTTACGCCATACCGTTTGTATTCTCTCAACTTTTCCGCTTAGTTGCTGTCATTGTTTTAAGAATCACGGACCGTTTTCCTATTCACAATATCATAATGCCCTTGATTTCGTTCGTTTTAAATGAATCACGTCGTTTGCTACTGGGACGTAATAATGGAAGTGCAGTTGAATGATGTGCTTTATCACCCAACTTCTATGTTAATAAGTGGGAATTCTGGTTCTGGTAAAACCACGTTTGTTGCAAATATTCTCCGATTCAATAAACTCTGGCAAGTTGCGGAACGGGTTTATTGGTTTTATAAGCAGTACCAGTCCTTATATGATCAATTATTAAAAGAAGGATTTCCAACTACCTTTATCGAAAGGTTACCAGAAGAAATTTCCAAACCAAATTTTTTTGATAAAAAGCAAGTTAACGTTTGTGTGATTGACGACTTGCACTTAGAAGAAAAAACGAGCAAACACGTTGCCCAATTATTTTGCAACGGCGGACGTCATTCCAACACAACGGTTATCTATCTGACACAAAATCTGTTTTTTAAACAGAGTTTTGGACGCGATATACGGCTAAACGCAAAAGTTATTGTTTGTTTTAAAAATCCCCAGGACCGACAATAGCTTCAAATCCTGGGACGTCAACTATTTCCTAACAAACTTAACTATTTTATGGAAGCTGTCACGGCCGCTTTTGAGAAGCCTTTTGGTTATATAGTTATTGACTTGCAACACAATATTAGCGATCGATTTCGACTGAAATCGTCCATTTTTGGCGAGCATTTTCATGGTTTTACCGAA